TTATCCCCAGGAGAAGCCTCCTGTAGTTTATTTGAGTCGTATCAAACAAGACGACCAAAGGAAGGACAAGCAGGGCCTCTACAGAAGAGTAAAGAAATGGGAGCTCTCGGAGCTGAGACTTATAGATGGAAAGAGCGCTGATACTGAGGTAGTTAGATTTAGATTTAATAACGATTTGAAGTCGTTTTGGTAAAATTGTAATTTTCACTTTCTTATTTATATTTACCTATTTTTATCTTCTGCTTTCCAGGTATACATGTACATATTGTCATCTCTCTCTCTCTCTCTCTCTCTCTCTCTCTCTCTCTCTCTCTCTTTTCTCCAGGTTCCTGAATTTGATCTCCATTTCGAGAAGACTACCTTCAAATGGGTTGCCAGCAATGTAGTAGAGAAGAAAGCTTTTGTCGTCTGTCTCTATAGAATGGCTCACAAATATCTGCCACGTAACAAGCCAGAGTTTGTCCATTTTGATGAGGAGAGACTCCACGAGTTATTAGCCACTGCTGAAGCCGGTGGTAGAGGGAGAGAGATTGAGGAGGAAGCAGTTCAACAAGGTAAAGGGGGAGGAGTAATGGGAGGGAGAGAGAGAGGAACATGCATATCATGTGAATGTTCATGTACATGCTCTCTCTGCCAATTATATATATACACATGTAGTTATACATGTATATGTACATGTATATATTATTATTTTGGCTATTGGTTAAAAATAGTTTGGTAATGCATGTACATGTACGTGTATTAGTAACTGTATGCTATACTTTTTCCAACTATTGCTATTTTTTCCTTCCTCCCCCCCTCTCTCCTTCCAGAGGATTATCAGGAATTATCCGAAAAGGAACAAGAGGATCTTGAGAAGCTCCTCAAAGAGGAAGAGGAGAAGACCGGGGGTCAGTCTGGGATCCAGAACATCGAAGCATTCACTGAGAACCTTTCACAGCAGCTCTCTAACCTGGACGAGGCTAACATCCACACATTGATGGACTCTGAGACACAGATACACACTCTAATGAAATCCATTGACAATACTACGATAGAGATTGGGGTATGTTACTATATTTGGAATGCATTGTGAATGTTGCTATTTTTAGTATCGCACTGTTCTATTTTTAGTATCTTTGGTAGCCCACATCTTGCAATTCTAGTAATGCATTACAACTGTTGCTTTTAGTAACGTAATGACACTTGGTTTTGTTTTCTTTTGGTTGTTATGTCAATCTTTGTCCTTGAATGTTTCATTATTTATCTTTCTCCTCGTCCTAACCCTCCCCCTCTCTCTCCTTCCCTTTTACACTCGTCCTGTGCCTACTGGCCAGTTTATGTGTGCATGTACATATATATTCTTTTATTTATTTATTTAATCTTTTCTTTCTTTCTCTCTCTCTCTCTTTAGCAAACAGAGTTAAAACTTGCAGTGTATGATGAGTTACTGATGGACGTGAGGTCTAATATGTCTAAACTAACCAAAGACTACTCACGAATAATGATACTGGATAGAAACTTGAAGGCACTTCTCTCTCAAGTTGAAGAAATAGTTGTAAGTTGGAAATAAAACTTTAATAACAATAATTATGACTAATATTAAAGAAGATTTGGGGATACTATTACATGCGTTCTGTCTTATCTTATCTCTTGATGCTTCATTTATTTATTTCTCCTCTCAACTTTCCTCCCTCCTCCTCTTCTTATCTCTACATAAATTCTCCTCTTTCTCTTCATTATTACTCCTCCCTCCCCCCCCCCTCTCTCTCTCTCTCCTTTTTCTTTCTGTTTGTTCAGGAGAAGCTTTACTTAGAGCCAAGAGTGGAGAGGATACTATCCTCAGCTTCATTCCATGATGAGCAGAACATAAGAGAATGTACTGAGTCAGTGAAAAAGCTCCACAATGTCATGAGACAGGAGTTGAGTCAAGGGGTTCAGGTCATGCAGGCTGTCACTGATCAGAACGCTCACTTTTCCAGACTCTCCTTCTCTTTTGGTGCACGGCTTAAAGTAAATTTCATGATGACATATTTTGGCAGGAGTTGGTGTATTTTCACAATTTCTTTATAAACTAGCTGCTATTACATGTAGCTGTGAGTTATTATATCAGCAATTTTCCAGCCCATTTATTACTGAGCATGTTATACCCAGTAAACATGTGTACATGTACGTGTACACGCATGTACATGTATATGTATATCAATATCTTTCCTTGGGTTTTTTGCTTGTCACGGATTTTGTGACAATGGAACTAATAGATTTTTACTTGTCATGGATTTCGTGACAATGAAACTAATGGGTTTTTACTTGTCACAGATTTCGTGACAATAGAATCTTATTTCATTTTTTCTCCTCTTTCTCTCTCTCTCTCTCTCTCTCTCCTTGTATTCTATCCTAGGATCACCTTTGTACCACTTTTTCTCAAAAGTCCACATTATTGTTAAGCGAGCTTACCCAGCGCTCCACCAGTAACCTTCCCTCCTTATCGGCTCACATTCCGTTGCATCGTGACCTTAGACTCTACACTGAACTGACCCACTGGATGAAAGAGTGCGAGAATTCTAAATTCGTTGAAGTCTGTGAAGTAAGCTTGTTCATTTGAGAGAACAACATGTTATGTTGTTGTTATTATTATTGTTTTTATTATTATTATTATTATTATGCATTCACAATTCCTATTGTGTATTAATTAATTCCAGCATTCATTAACACTGTGTCTTTATAATGATTAAAATTAAATACTTGCATGTACATGTACATATATACATGCATGTACATGTATATATGTACATGTACATGAGCTGAAATATGTACATGTACATGAGCTGAAATTTAACTGCTAAATATCTTATACCTTCTCCCTTTCTTTCCCCCTAAGGCCTATTGTATAGAGTTTCAGAAAGTCTACGATAGCGAGATTAAAGCTTTCATGGCGGACATTAAGTCTCATTTCAGTCGCACCATTGATCCTCGTAAAGGTGGTGGGAGTCCAGCCATCGGGGGCGGAGCTCTTTCAAAGGTGAGGGTGTGGTTTTTAATGATACAGCTGGTTCTGATCTAAATTGCATTTTTTATGAATTTTTAAAGTTGCTCCAAAATCCAGCCAAAGTCCCTGTACTAGTACAGGGTCATTGGCCAAATTTCACCAAAAATGACTAGGAGAGAATTCTCAACTTTTATTACATTTTTTGATACATATACATGTTCTTATGTTGCGTAGAAAGTTTGAGCTGGTTCCGATCAAGTTTGGATTTTTTACGAATTTTTAAAGTTACTCCAAAATCTGGCCAAATTCCTGTACTATATAGTACAGGATCATTGACCAAAATTTTGCTAAAAATGACTAGCAGAGAATTCGCCATTTTTATTATACATGTACAATGTACATGTATTTCTGATACTTGTCCTTATGTTATTATTAGAAAGGTTAAGCTTACGTCAAGTAAAAATGTCAGTCTTCTACTTGATAATATACTGTATATCTTTCACGTAAATTTACAATTTGTCTCATTTTTAGTTTGCTGGCTCTCAGGCTGATCTATCGCATCGTGGCAGTAACCTCAGTTTAAACTCTCCGTCCATTCGAGGCATGTCTGCCTCCTTGCTGGATTTCTCTATGACCAGCCAGACCTCCCTAGCAACTCCAGATCCTAGCAAGCCAAGGTGGGCGGGTCTGTGGGTGTGGTCTGGTTTATTATTAGTTATTAGGTTTGATCAGGTTTTTATGTTGGTCCTGGAGCAGTTGCAGCCTCTTTGTGTCTCAGAAGAAAAGTTCTGTACGACTTTCTTTCACTTTCCAAGACAAGAAGAATCCGAAGGAGTGAGTTTTGTGTGTGTGTGTGTGTGTGTGTGTGTGTGTGTGTGTGTGTGTATACGTGTATACGTGTGGAATATTTCAAGGTGACTTTAATTTTACGATCATAAAAGTAAAATAAATTTTCATTAGTTATAATGAAGTTAGTGCGGCTCCGTAAAATTAAAAACATGTGAAAATTGAATAATAATAAAGGCCATAAAATATTCCACTTCTACTGTACATGTACATGTACATGTACATGTACATGTACATGTACGTGTACGTGTACATGTATATGTATCTCGTTATCTTGTATTTTATTCTTCTCTTCCCCTCCCTCCTCTCTCCCTATATACAGTCATCTCCTCCAACTTCAAGACGTACTGAAGGTGATACTGAAGATGGCGGAAGAGCTGATGAAGGCGTGGAGGAGTACGATGGGAGTATGAGAGACTTCTTTGGTTTGATGACAAAAAGGAATCCGGACAAGTCACACATGCTAGATGTTGGTTTGATGGCGCGAGGACTGGTGGGATTCATGCAGCACTTGTTTGGCTGCTTGTTGAAGGAATTGGAGTCACTCATTCAGTTTGGGGAGAAAGTGGAACCATTGTGAGACATAGATACATATGTTATACATATTATAACATTAATTTTTTCTCTCTCTCTCTCTCACTCTCTCTCTCTCACACTCTCTCTCTCTCTCTCTCTCTCTCTCTCTCTCTCTCTCTCTCTCTCTCTCTCTCTCTCTCTCCCCCTCTAGTAATTCTTTATATTTGTTGGTTGCTGTCAGCCAGAGGGTAATGTTTGCTCAAGAAGGTGGCAAGTTGTCTTATTTGGATAATTGTTTGGCAAGTTCATGTGTCATCCTTAAAAGACTCTTTAACAAACTAGTGGTATGTGCTTGATACTAGAAAAATACATGTACATGTACATGTACACATATACATGTACAAGTGTTAACTCTCTCTCTTTTTATCTCTCAGACTAGTAGAGAGAAGGCCATTAAAGAGTGCAAGGTTCCTCGTAAAAGTGGAAAGTGTGGAGTCATTCCGAGCGTCCGTGAGTTCATGAGGTTTGCCGAAAAGGCCGAGAGCATCGTCATGGGAACCGACCGTCGCTCTGAGCTCGATCAAGCATATAAAACTCTAATTAATGCCCTTTTTGACTGCATCAATCGCCTCTCTGAAGAGCACCCTAAAACGCCTAGAAATGTCGTACTACTGGGTAAAGAAGTGATGGAGATTTTATCATATTATATAATTCTATTTCTTTCTTTTCCAGAGAATTATTATCAAGTATATGACAACCTGAGCCAATTGAAGATATCCTGCCTGGATCAGGAGAGAGAGGAAGCTAAGAAGAGATACCGTCTCCATCAGCAGCAGTACGTCATTACTTGCCTCGGGAAACCCCTCGACAAACTAAGCACCTTTTTTGAGGGAGTTGAGAACCTCCTCGGGTCCGGAGTGAAGCCGGAACAGATTGGGTTCTATAGTCATTATAATAAAACTGAGTTAGTCAAGTGTATCCAGAGCTATCCTGGGAAAGAGGTAAGGAGAGAGAGAGAGGGAGAGGGGGGAGGGAGAGAGTGAGCAGTAGATTGTATATTAGAAAGAGAAAGATATACAAGAAAGCTACATGTACATTATGATGTACATGTACAATGTATATGTGTTGTAACTTGTAAGTTCAGTAGTTGTGGGCTGCAGAAAATTTTATTCTCCCTGAATTTGTGTTAATAATGCATTTTAATATTCAATTTTAAGTAACTTTATTAGACTAAGACAGTTTTAGTAAAGCATATCCCTTGATCTCTAGCTGATATGGGATTACTTTAAAAATAAAATTTATTTAGCATTTCTATGGGACACAGTAGCATCAACTGATAGAGTAAGTACATGCTCTATCAGTACTGATCAAAGTGTTACTGGCCAGTAGGATTATAATGTAGATTATTAGAGTACATGTACAACCATTTCACTAAAGTAGTCCCAAGGGTGCATGTATACAGAATGAATTGGTTTATTGTCTATTAAAGTTCATTTGTATCTTGTAAACATTTTCTCAAATGTGCCATTGGGAGTTGTAATGCTAATAATTATATGTACATGTAGTACATGTGCTTATTCTCTATTCCTTTCTTTACTTCACCTTACTCTTACTCTCTCTCTTTCTCCTTCTCTCCTCCTCCAGGTTAAGAAAGGTCTAGAGAAGTTGTACAAAAGATGTGACAAGGATCTTAGCGAGGAGTCGGGGAGACTGAGGGTTGTGTGGGGGGCAATGCAGGAAGCATTCATCAATCAGTACGATCACTTCACCAAACTAATGGAGAAATGTTATCCAGGGGCTAACATGCAGCTGGAATTCAAACTAGCCGATATTATAGAGTATTTCCGTTCTATCTCCGACGATAAGTAGAGCCTGTTGCTAATAATTGCGGGAGACATTTCTTCGTGTTTTTCTTTTCTTTCCGTTCAAAAAGACAATTTTTATTGCTCATTTGTGTGTGTTGATTCTAGTTTTAATTGAAATATTCTTTATATTATCATAATAATAATAACAATAATAATAATAATAATAGTAATAGTCTTGTAATTGTGTTATTTTTTAGGTTTTGTAAGAAAATAAATATAATAATAATAATAATAATGATAATAATAATGGCTATTTTGCATTCTATGTCCTCCATAACAGCATTTATAGTTTAATGATAACAGCAGAGAAGATCAAGGAATAAGAGAGAGAGAGAGAAATGACGGAATGGGCAGAAGAAGCGCGTGTGACCGAGACAAAGGGAAGGATTATGGAGAAGAGATTGTGTCATTACCTAATTCAGCTTCGTGTTGCTTAGAAGCATTCGCCAACACTAAAGAAACCAGTTCTTTGGCTGAGTGAGTGTGGTCATTAGTAGCAGGCGGTACTAGTGCGCCATAACTAACAGAGACAGTGATGGTTGGTATGTACTGACTATTCTCTGAAGAAGATTGAGGAAGATTGTCTTCTTCTTTTAACAAAGTTTGTCCTAGTGCCCTCGTTAGGCAATCAGTCACAACTTGTCTCACATCTTCACCATCAATCATCGACACACCTCCTTCCCCTCCTCCTCCTCTCTCTCCTACTTGAGCAGTGACCATACTCACACCTACTGATGCCTGGAGCTTCCCTGTGCTTCCCTGCCCGTTTGCTAGAGGTACACGTACATTAGTGATACCCCTACTCTCCTTTCCTTTACGACGATAGTCTGGAGTGATAGCATTTCTAGAGTTGAGACTAAAGTCTGGGGTCGCGGATCTGTTTGAGATTAGGTTTGGTTCGCTGCTTGTGATGTCGAGTGAGCTATAAGTTCTTTTTCTAATTCGTTCCTCGTGCATTAGTCCACTCAACGACTCCAAGTGCTTCATCGTTTTCTTGTACTGCTCTTTGTGGATGTCTATGTCTTTCTGTAGCGACAATATCTTTGTCTTTATTCCCTATTTAAGAGGATCGGAGAGTAATATGGAAATGAACACGCCCCTAACTTACGACTAGTTTCTTGTTGCAGAGGTGTCTCTCTTCGTAGTACGGTCTATGGGGTTGCTATGGTGATGGCTGTCAAGGCAACGGGGCTTACCTTGATTTCCTAATGGTACGTTTTAATTTAGTCTCAAGAGTGTGACAGTCCTTCTGTATCTTTTGATATTCAACGGTGAGCCGCCTGTGCTCAATCTCGCTCTCTACCTTATTCCTACTGGCCTTCTCCACCTGGAGGGAGGGAGGGAGGGAGGAGATATAAATAAAGATAAAGAACACATTATGATAGGGATATTATGTATCAGGTATGTGATGTATTTGGCACAGGTAATCAATTGCATTATGCCTTTAAAGAGCCTTATTAGTTAGTCAATTAAGATCTTACACACAGAGGATATTCATACAGTAATAATGTACTTACAATATATCCCATACATCATGCACTTACTCTCAGTGTAGCATTGGCTAGTGTTTCTTGCCAAGCTTCATCAATGGCCGTAGCAGATGACTGGGACAGGCTCCGGTCCCTCTCTCCTCTGCTCAGCTTCTCTTCATCTTCCTCGTCCGTTCTTGATTCTTTTAGCTCATCAATGCTCTTCTCCGCTATCTTCAGTGTCTCTTTAGCGGAGTCATACTCGCTGTTAGCTCTCTCGAACGCTAGGGTAGCATTATGGGCCTCTCGTTGCAACTAAAATAAAAACAATAATATCAATAGCAGCTGTATAAGAGTAAAGTCTTGCTTTAAATACAGTACATGTATATTTATCATTATACTTTTATGTACCTCTTTGGCTTTTCTCCACATGTTCACAAACGGCTCGGTCTTCTCTATGGCAGTGTGCAGTCGGGATTTCATGAGTGCTAGCTTCATTTGACTCTCCCTCTTTACTGACTCATATTCCTTTCTAGCTTCCTGTACAATAAAAAATAACAAATAAATATAAAATAAGTTATAGACAAGTTATAGAGAAGGGAATAATAGTGAAGAAGGATACACTGTCTTATAAAGGAGGCGGACAATAGGAAAGTGTATACTAAAAGGAGCTGCTTTCGATTATCATTGTCTTCTCTCTCCCTCTCATTTGAAACAGAATGAGTCTATTTGTGTGATGATTATGATTTCCTCTTTATTGTTTACAATAGCAACAAGAGAGTCAACATTAACCTAACACTAAGACAACACATGCTCTCTGCATCTCTCTCTCACTCTAACCTTTTCCTTCTCTCTTCATTATTATTATTATTTACATTCCTTTCCAATTCCTATTCCCTACCTTCCTTTCCCCCCCTTTCTCTCTCTCTCTCGTTGCATACCAGTAATGCCTTTTCTAGTCTATTAACATTGGTACCAGTGTCTGTGAGTGTATTTAAATCAACCTACAACAGAAGAGAGAGAGTAAAAACTAAAAAGAAACAATAATATTTTTATAAGAGTACAGATCACACTGACAACTTTAAAATATAAATTAAACTAAAACCCAGTTCCCAGTCACATAAGGTATGCACAAATTAAAGGCTCTCTCTCTCTCTCTTCCTCATTCATTTCTTATTTACAGCAATAGTCTGTTCTATTGATTCATCTAATTCTTCATCTTCATCCTCTATCCCATACAGTTCCTGTGGCTGTAGGTCAGTACTAGCCACACTCTCGGGCGTACAGGAGCGACTGGGATCCTCTAACTCTCTCCCCTCCACTACATCCAGGTGGTTTTCAGCCATCACTCAGTCAGAGAGGAGAGGACAGCAGATAGAGAGAACTTCAGAAAAGAAGACTGCGTACTTGATAATGCGCGAGGTAAGGGCGTGGCTCATATCAGAATAGGCGGAGACTTTTAATAAAAAGGGCGTGGCTCACTCTCATTAATAACTCTTCTGAGGAAAATCAGGAAATGAAAATGTGTTCTCATAGAGTTGCCATTTTTATTCTCTCTTTGCTTGTTTGTGCAAGTGCTGTCCTTGGAGAAGCAGAGATTTTGAACGCAGAGGATTTCAAAAAGGCTGTTGCTGCTGGACCTGTCTTCGTTAAATTTTTTGCCCCATGGTAAAACAGAAAATAGTCTACACTCACTTCTCTTTTATCAATTAATTATATTTCAATTGTTTAAGGTGTGGTCACTGCCAGAGGTTAGCTCCTACTTGGGACGAATTGGCTGAAGCTTTTAGCGGGAGTTCAGTGAGAGTAGCAAAGGTACGATGTAATTAATTAACCACGGATAATTAAAAATAATGTAACTATAATGATGATGGTTCTAATTATAGGTTGATTGTACCCAAGAAACTCCGTTGTGCAGTGAAGAAGGAGTCAGAGGATATCCCACGTAATGTCCCCTCTTCTCCTCATTAAAATGATTATATCATTTTTAGTCTTAAGTTGTTCATCGGAACCCATCCGGTACTTTATTCCGGACAAAGAGATCTCAGTTCTCTCAAAACCTTTGTGCTGCAGCATGTGGAGGTGGTTGAGGTAGGCCTCCCCTGCTTATTATAAAGGAGTACTTTATTCTATAGGGAAATGAAATCGGTTTGGTGGAGCTGAGTGATGAGAATTTCATGGGTTTCTTAGAAAAGTCCGGAATACAATTTGTAAAGTTTTATGCTCCTTGGTAAGTTGAACTTGTTGTAATGATAGGGCAAACTTTAAAAATTCGTAAAAAATTCAAACTTGATTGGAATCAGCTCAAACTTTCTCCGCAACATAAGTACATGTATATGTATCAAAAAATGTAATAAAAGTTGAGAATTCTCTCCTAGTCATTTTTGGTGAAATTTGGCTGATGACCCTGTACTATAGTACAGGGACTTTGGCCTGATTTTGGAGCAACTTTAAAAATTCCTAAAAAATCCAAACTTGATCGGAATCAGCTCAAACTTTCTACGCAACATAAGTACATGTATATGTATCAAAAAATGTAATAAAAGTTGAGAATTCTCTCCTAGTCATTTTTGGTGAAATTTGGCCGATGACCCTGTACTATAGTACAGGGACTTTGGCCTGATTTTGGAGCAACTTTAAAAATTCCTAAAAAATCCAAACTTGATCGGAATCAGCTCAAACTTTCTACGCAACATAAGTACATGTATATGTATCAAAAAATGTAATAAAAGTTGAGAATTCTCTCCTAGTCATTTTTGGTGAAATTTGGCCGATGACCCTGTACTATAGTACAGGGACTTTGGCCCAATTTTGGAGCAACTTTAAAAATTTGTAGAAGATCCAAACTTGATCAGAATCAGCTCAAACTTTCTACGCAACATAAGTACATGTATATGTATCAGAAAAAATTATAAAAATGAAGAATTTTTTCTAGTCATTTTTTGGTGAAATTTGCTTGATAGGGACTTTTGCCCTATTTTGAAGCAACTTGAAGTTTATATTTGTTGATTTGTAGGTGTGGTCATTGTCAGAGGTTAGCACCAGTTTGGGATGAGCTGGCCACTTATTATAAATCGGATTCATCAGTTCACGTAGGAAAGGTAAGGTATGGAGGGGAATGGAAATGAAAGAGAAGACAGGAGAGAGAAAAAACTTCCTCCATAATGTACTTTAAAATATTATGTATATAGTAGGAGAGCTGTAAGCTTTTATCCTCATGGCCTTTTATTATGCTATAATGTATGCCTCTAACTTTTTGTATGCTGGTTACACGATAATTAAATCCTGTTTTTCAGGTTGACTGTACTCGTTTTGGTGACCTGTGTAGCAGGTATGGCGTTAAAGGTTATCCTACTTTATTGACGTTTGGCGGAGGGATAGCTCTTGATAAATATGATGGGGAGAGGACTCTGAGCTCACTCATTGCATTTGTGAGCAAACAAAGTGGCCATGATGATGATAAGGTTGCCAATACTGCTAGTGAAGATCAGAAAAAGAACAAAGTAATATCTCTCTTTCTTTATCTTGTTTCTGTTTCATTTTTGACTTTCATATTATAGTGTTATTGAGTTACAATAGTAATCTTTATAATACAATACGGAACTGATTAATTAGTGAATTTATTATAGGGTCATCCTCTTTCTCCCCTTGTTCTTACTGCTGATAATTTTGACAGTTCAATCAGCGAAGGGATCAGCTTCATAAAGTTCTATGCGCCTTGGTACGAGATTTTATGTACATTTTGTGAATATAATACATATAATTGTAGGTGTGGTCATTGTAAGAGATTGGCGCCCACTTGGGACCAACTGGCAGAAATGGCTCATGAAACAACTCATGCTACCATTGCTAAAGTAGACTCGCTGGGAATGAGTGCCATTGTTTGACATTATTATAATTTTAGGTTGATTGTACAGCAGAGACAAGCTTATGTTCTCGCTTTGAAGTAAGAGAGAGAGAGGGAGGGAGGGGGGAATGAGAAAAAAACAGTAATGTCAGATGCAGTTCAAGCTTGCTGTGCTACTTGGTTCATTGGTGGCACAAACAGTTTTTCAGTCTTGAATTTCCTTTCTTTTTCTTCTCAATCCTTTCCCTGTACAGATCACTGGGTATCCTACATTAATATTGTTCTCTGATGGCATAAAGAAGACTGAATATAACAAAGCAAGAGACTTGGATTCTCTGCTAAGCTTTCTTCATGAAAACGAATAGAGGGACTTCATTTCAGGAGATTTAATAATAATAATAATAATAATAATAATGATGTTGATAATAATGATGACTGATACTAGATCTACTAATATATTTGTTGCATAGTAGCAGTTTATCCAATTAAATTCATCGTTTCTTCATTAATGTCCACAGAGTTGATTTTGGCATTATAATAATTATTGATTTGACTTGGCATCCAAAGGGAGTGTCCAGCTATAAAAGTCATGGATTCTCTACAGAAAGTGACATTATCATTCTCTCCAGGAAATGATGTGTTCTGCTCGAGGTGTTATTTTTGTCTTACTGGTAGCTTATCATGGAGCTGCTCTAGTCCTTGGAGGAGCTGAAACCCTGAGCGAAGATGAGTTTAAAGATGCTATTGCTGATGGACCTGTATTTGTCGCATTCATTTCCCCTTGGTAACACTTTAGTCTAATAAATAAATCAACATTAAATTTTGCATTACTTGATATATACTTGGTTTTAGGTGTGGCTTTAGTCAAGCCTTAGCTCCTATTTGGGACAATTTGGCTAAAGATGTTAAAACAGTGAAGATAGCTAAGGTAGTAGGATTGCATTTTCTTACATATTAAAATAGCATAAACTACCCATTTGTATTAATTTTTTGTTTAGCTAAAAAACTTCACACTTTTCTGCGCCAATCTGCGGTGTCTTATGCCTCATTTGGCACTTCAAATTTTCATCTAATTTGGCACTCAGCAATTTATTATTACATGCAATAAAATCATAACAATCTTGATTGAACCTCGGCAAAATTGCAATCCTATAGTTAAAGCATGTGTCAATCTCCATGCTAAAATGTGCAATTAATTTTTGCTCAGATCTTGATTTGCATGTAAATATTAAATATAATTATTGCACTAGGTGGATTGTGATCAGGATCGTCAGCTATGTGAGAAAGAGGACGTAGCTGGATTTCCAACGTATGTAATCCATGCATGGTAATTCTTTTATTTTATACCTTTTTTATTAGTCTTATCTTGTACGTCAATGAAAGGCCTATATTATTTAAAGGAGATAGGAAGCTAACTGCATTCAAGGAATTTATAAACAAGCATATAGAGGTATTCTTGAAATGAGCTTGTATTATGGTATTATTATGCAGAATTTATAAATGTTTTTAGGAAGATAAAGAGATTGGTTTTGTGGAACTGACCGATGAAAATTTTTCAGGTTTTCTGAAAACATCTGGACTACAATTTGTCAAGTTTTACAAACCTTGGTAAGCTGAAGTTGTAATCCTTGGATTGTATTGTGTGTGGCTGTATTTAAAGAGTTAGTTGATGACGTGAATGTAATATCTATTCATTGCAGGTCTGGTCATTGTCATAGTTTTGCACCAGTTTGGGAAGAGTTGGATTTGTATAACTCGGATACATCAGTTCACATAGGAAAGGTAAGAGAGGAATGGAAATAAAATATTCTGCTTCAGTAAGAGAAAAGAGAGGAGAAAAAGACAGAACTTATGCATCATAGTATCCACTTTACAATTAATACATAGTTTGCTTGCTTTTTATAGGTTGATTGTACTGTACAGACAAGTTTGTGTGCTCAATTTGAAGTAAGAGAGAGAGAGAAAGAAAAGGGAGAGAAAGAGGGAGGAGAAAGGAAGGAGGTGAAGCAAATTAATTTATGAAATTGAGCTCTCTTTTAATTGCATGCTCATTCATTTTTTTTCTGTACAGATCACTGGCTATCCTACATTACTTTTATTTTCTGATGGCATGAAGAAGGCCGAGTATTATGACAAGGAAAGAGATTTGGAGTCGCTAATAAACTTTCTTCATGAACACAAATGATAATGACAACTGCAACAATAATAATAATGAATAATCAGTCATTTATTATCAGTCTAGATTGCTATAGTTTATATTAAAGCCAAATTTTAGGCTAAATTTTGGAGCAACTTTAAAAAATCCAAGTTTGATTGGAATCAGCTCAAACTTTCCACACAACGAAAGAACAGACTCGGAGTTGAGCCACGTGGTTTCCGTATTCTTTAGTCTAGAATCCGGGATTCAATGTAAATCTATGGGCGTGGCATGGTTAAAGATGGCGGCTGACATGGTGAGAAAGCTGTTGTATGTACTAGAATCACTCCTTCACTTGTGTTCTGTCTTGTTTAGGGGTTGTTACTGCTGCTACCACTAGTTTATCTGGCTCTACTATCGAGCGCGTTACCTTGTAAGAAAGACAGAGAGTGGCCAGGGAGAGAATTATATACATTTATTTTTCCTATTATTTCTGGATTTATTTATTTCTTTATGGTATGATTTTTCTAGCTCATGACCCTCTCTCTCCTGCACTCCATTATTATGAAAAGCTACACAAAGACAACGTGAGGCACAAGATTGTACGTGACAACATGCCAAGACTTGAGGACAACCTTATTGAGCTACACCTCGACATTCATTCAAAGTAAAGTACCCCATGAGACCTAGTGGTCACCATAGGGAACTGGTTTATTTATATTATTATGAACATGTACTTGATACTTATGTATGTGTCATGGTTGAGTGATTGGGTGCAATGATAGATCATATTACATCGTTTAAGTTTCTTTCTTAATTTTTTGAATATGTGACCATAATTGACAAAAGGTACCTTATGGCGGGTAGTGAAATTTGCCTTTATAGCCAAGAAAATCCAACTTCCTGAGCTCCATTTATCATAAAATTACTCCACAGGTTGCAAAAAGTTACTATATAACTTTTAAACACAATAGATGTCCAACAGAGCAGTCACAGGTTGATATTTTTCATTATAATGATGAATTTTAAAATCCGCCATAAGGTACCTTTTGTCAATTATGGTCACATATTTTCTTTTAGTTCTTGACTTCTTCTACTGTATTTTTCCTTCTCCTCTCTCTCTCTTAGATATTTCAGATTACAATTATCTCCTACTATCGAGTCCTTCCATCCGTCATTACAATCTCAGTCCTCTCATCCAATCAATTTCTCTGAGTTCTTTCATGGTCACGTATTTGGGGCAGAGTTCAGTGATGTGACGGCTCATATGACCGAGGATGGGATAATGACAGCTATCATTGTATTGGATATAGAGACATACTACGTTGAGGTAGGTTAAGATGAATTCCTTTGATATTATATTATTTTATTCATTAGCCATCAAGCAGACATATCAAGGAGTCACATGATTATCACATGATAACGTATAAGGCTTCCGATATCAAGTATAACATGACTGGGTATGAAAACCAATTTAAAATTGATATTACTATTGTTGTTATTATTATTATTATTATTATTATCATTATTATGGTTTTTGTTGTAGTGATGCCAATTCTCCATTTTGTGGTCACAAAGGTGCATATAAAGTTAACCACACCCACTACGTTAATTTTGGTAAGACGCCATCAAAAGTGCGGAGTAGGCTAAAGAGACAGGCTCCATCGCCAGTGACCGTTTGTCCAATGTTCCTCGTTGGCTCGACCAGCTTCTATGAGCAGTTTGGTGGAGGAGAGGTGGAAAAAGCTATTAATTATCTGGTAAGATACTTGTGTTTACATTAAATTAATATTAAATTTGTCAGCTGTATAAAATTGATAAATCTACGTCTTTTACACTTCTCTTTCTCTTCCTTCTCCCTCTTTTTCAGCTCTTGTTAATGCTGGATGTCAATCGTATATATAGAACTACTGATTGGTTTATACCTAATGTTGTTGATAGTGCTACTCCTGGTACTAAGGGACTCCAAATTGCAGGAGTATGTTGGAAATTTTTGTAAAATTTACCTCAATTTTTGCTGCTTGTCTTGTAAAATTAATGCTATTATTTAACATGTACTTACATGTATGTGTATTATAAATTTGTTTATGTTAGGTTAATATTATTAATGATGCTAATAATGCCCCTGCTTACAATCAAGATAGCAACGTCATGTCCGAGAATCTTCTAAGAGTTAGTGTCAGACTAATAGCCCTCTCTTATCATCAGCTCTCTTCTTTCTCCCTCCCTCCCTCTCTCTCTCTCTCTCTCCCTCTCTCTCTCTCCCTCTCTCTCTCTCTCTCCCTCTCTCTCTCTCTCTCTTTCAGGAGTTCTCCAGGACAGACTGGAGCAGATATTGCTTGGCTCATCTCTTCATTGGTAGCAACTTCGCCGATAACTCTAGACTGGGCGTGGCTTACATTGCAGATGCCTCAAGCTTCTATCTAGGAGGCGTGTGCTCTCGGCGTAAGCTAAACTTATTATTATTATCATTATTATTATTATTATTATCATTATTATTATTATTATTATTATTATTATTATTATTATTATTATTATTATTATTATTATTATTATTATACTATTTAGGTACTAGTATAAATGGAGTTGCATTCTCTGGTAATACTGGTATATCATCATTTCGTGCTCGATCCAGACTCCTCCTACTTGCTGAGGCTGTTATCATCACAGCTCACGAGATAGGACACAACTGGGGGGCCCAGCACGATGACTCCTCCTCCTCCGAGTGTAGCCCCTCCCCTGAGAACGGAGGGAAGTACCTGATGTATCCCATAGCTCAGGACGGAACAGCTGATAATAATAATGTGAGGCAAACATAATACATGTACATGTACATGTATTAGAAGGGAAAATCTATGTACATGTATGCTTTTCTTATTTTTATAGGTTTTTTCTCCTTGCTCTGTTCGTGGTGTGAGTCGTGTACTAAACACTCATGAAAGTGACTGTTTCACAGGTCAGCTTTGAAATGGTCATGAGAGAGGATTCCTCTTTTAACAATAATATGAATTTTCTTACTAGTGTATGTCGTGTAGAAAGTTTGAGCTGATTCTGATCAAAATCTGATTTTTTATGAGTTTTTAAAGTTTCTTCAAAATCAGGCCAAAGCCCCTGTATTACAGTGCATGTATATCAAAAACTGCCATTATTTGTAATTCACTTTTATTGTGATTGACTCCATGCTTGTTCCCTGCAGCTCCTAGTAATAATTTGTGTGGTAATTTCATTGTTGATGTTGGTGAGCAGTGTGACCCTGGTCCTACTGGTGTTCTTTCTGGTGGTGACATGTGCTGTACTGTCGGGTGCAGGTACAAAGGGAACGCCACACATACTTACACATGCAGGTTAGAATTAGGAATACTTTATTATTATCAATTATCAATTAGACTTTAGAATGCACATACACGTACGAGTATTGAAGGTTTTATTTTTTAAAATCCTTTCTCTCCCCCCCCCTCTCTCTCTTCTCTTCTCTTCTTTATATATTTTATAGTGATACTAATCATGAATGTTGTCAGGGTTGTTTCATAAGTAGAGAAGGTTCTATCTGTCTCCTTCGACAGTATGGGAACTTAGGCTGCCTTGCTAATGAGACATGCAAGTAAGGGAAAGGGGAGGGAGAGGAGAGAAGGAGAGAGGGAGGGAAAAGTGGCTCAATCATTCATTAGAACTACTTCAATTGTTTGATAGTGGTATGGACAAAACTTGTCCAAGTAGTGTGACAAGTGCTCCAGTTGATACTCCTTGTGGATTTGAGTAAGGCATAATAAAAGATACAGCATTATTATTTTTATTTTAAAATCTTTCGCTTTCTCCTTTACCAGAGGTATCTGTGTTCCTACAGCTGACCCTAATGATGATGTAAATAAAACCGAGTGTAGGCAGTTTTGTGAACAAATGGACCTTGAAACATGTCACTGCACTGGTCAGCCAGTAAAACCTAGCATTAATTAACTATACTGTACATGTACATTTACGATTAACTAAGAGAAAATTTCGCTTTTATATACTCTTAATTTTAATTTTACATGTACACATGTACATGTATTATTTTACATATACGTATACCTTTAGGTGAGGATCAGTGTAAGATATGCTGTAGGGACGGTAGTGGTGCTTGCAGTCGAATCAATAATCCTTCAATGGATCTTCCTGATGGGAGCTTTTGTGAGGGAGGATCCTGTCAACAGGTTATTAATTATTTAATTTTAATTAATGGACCACACCCTTTAATTGCATTATTATTATTATTATTATTGTCATGGTTAGGGTACTTGTGTTTTATCTGATCCAGATCTCGTGACATTTCTCTCTGACCTTTTTGGAAATTTCAGCACAAATGCTCTCCGTGAGTGGCTATGAAACTTTTTGAACCTTCATTTCTCTCTCCCTCTCCCTCTCTCTCTCTCTCTCTCTCTCATTCCCAATAGTTCAGTTCTTGTATGAGAATATTGTTGGCAGTGTCATTGTAGTTTCTCTATTCGTCTGGATACCAGTGTCTACTGCTGTGCACGTATTTGTAAGTTAATAATATTGTTTATAATGAAGAACCCTCTCCTAATCATTTTGATGAATGAATTACATGTATACCTCATGTATGTATTTTAGTGATACAGCTGTATTAGTAACATGTTACTCAAATAAGTTCCTTATTAAATGTCAGTATCATTATGTGCCATATATAATGTAGGACATTTGGTGGGAGAAGAGAAGAGAGAAGAAGAAGAAGAAGAAGAAACAAAAAGATGACGAGAAGAAACTAGTTGAGAGCGTGGATTATGACTCTGATGACCCTGACAATCCTAAGGAAATTGAAGAGGTCACAGAAGAAAGGAAATTTCGTGATAATAAGGACCCAGAAAAAGATCCAATAACTCACCACCTGCTGGATAAAGAAACTGTTATAAATTAGTGTTGATTATGAGTGGACAATTAAAGTATTTTTTAACCCTTTCAATGCTCTTTTCCCCTCTATTACTCTTGATTTTATTAAAGCATAGATTGGATATTTTTTCTTCTCTTTGTACATGTGTATCTTGTAAGATGTACATGTACTTACAGTATATTTTTGTGATCTCCATCTCTCTCTCTCTCTCCATCATTCCTTCTACAAATACTTTATATGTACATCAGTTGAAATATTCATTGCCATTGTCTTCAGTTGCTGTCAAAGCATTCTCCTCTTTTTCTTGACTATAAGCAGAAGTTTAAAATGGAGGAGAAACTGGTTTTTCTTCTTGCTTTTGTTATTCCTCTCTCATGCTCTGCTCCTCCTCCTAATTTTGTTGTCTTTTTAGCTGATGAGTAAGAGCTTGTTTGTTTTTTGGTTGTATATACAATATACGTAATACATGTATCTGTTCTTTTTTATATATTACTGTTTTAATTTTATTTTATATTGTAGTCTTGGTTACGGGGATTTGAGTTCATATGGCCATCCTACAATTATCACACCAAGTAAGAAAAAGGAGAGAGAGAGAAGGAGAGAGAGAGAGAGGGGGGGAGAGAAGGAAAAAGGGACATGAATAAGTGGTGATATAACCTAATGCTAGTCTTTATTTGTATATGTTTATTAATTATTATTTGATTGCTTTGTCTGATATTGACTTAATTCTTTCCTCCTGACAGCAGTTAACAATACATTCCATGTGACTAGTTCCTGTTGATTGTTTTTGATTTATGTCCTTGTTAACTATGCATTGTTCTTGTAACTGACATGAATTATTATCCTTTCTTCCTTTGTGTTTTCCTCCCCTCCATCTCTCCCCCCACTCTCTCTTCCTCTCCCTCTCCAGATATTGATTCTCTAGCTGCTACTGGTACTAAGTTTACACAGTTCTATTCAGCCTATCCAATCTGTACCCCATCAAGGAGTGGACTACTAACTGGTACACATGCATACATGTACATGTACATGTACATGTAATTAGTTGGAATGTGGCCTCAAGTGGTTTATCAGATATACATGTACATGTATACACAGGACGCATGCTAATAATTATACCTCTTTTGTTCCTTCTATTTGTTCTTTTCCTTCCTCTCTTTTATTATCTCCCTCCCTCCCTCCCTCTCTCTCCCTCCCTCCCTCTCTCTCTCTCTCTCTCTCTCTCTCTCTCTCTCTCTCTCTCTCTCTCTCTCTCTCTCTCTCTCTCTCTCTCTCTCTCTCTCTCTCTCTCTCTCTCTCTCTCTC